AGAATAGCAAATATGGCAGGAGACAAGCTTGGCTTAGCAGAGAAGTCTTCAGTGAGCTTAAACACAAAAAGGAAGCTTACAAGAAGTGGAAGTTTGGACAGATGACTAGGGAAGAGTATAAAAATATTGCTCGGGCATGCAGGGATGAAGGCATGAAGGCCAAAGCGCAATTGGAGTTGCAGCTAGTAAGGGATGTGAAGGGTAACAAGAAGGGTTTCTACAAGTATGTTAGCAACAAGAGGAAGGTCAGGGAAAGTGTGGGTCCCTTACTGAATGGGGGAGTAAATATAGTGGCAGATGATGAGGAAAGGCTGAAGTGCTCAATGCTTTTTTGGCCTCAGTTTTCACAGGCAGGGTCAGCTCCCAGACTGCTGCACCAGGCAGCATAGTTTCGGGAGAGGGTAAGCAGCCGTTAGTGGTGAAAGAACAGATTAAGGACTATTTTAAAAAGTTGGACATGTACAAGTCCATGGGGCTGGATATCTGAGGGTGTTGAGGGAGTTGGGTGATATGACTGCAGAGCTGCTGGCATTATCTTTGAAAACTTGTGCAAATTGGGGGAAGTGCCAAATGATTGGAAAAAGCCAAATATAGTGCTCATCTTTAAGAAAGAGAAGAAGGAGAATCCAGGGAACTGCAGACCTCACCTCGGTCCCCAGAAAAATCATGGAGCTGGTCTTTAAGGAATCCATTTTCAAGCACTTGAAAAAAAAAGAAAGTGATCAGGAACAGTCAGCCTGGATTCACCCAGGGCAAATCATGCCTGACCAACCTGCCTGACCTTCCTGGCCCTAGGCCGGGGTGCTGGACTCGATGATCTTCTGAGGTCCCTTCCAGCCCTAATGTCTATGAAATCTATGAAACCTAATTGGCTTCTATAACAAGATGACTGGCTCTGTGGATGCAGGGAAAGCAGTGGATGTGATATACCTCAGTTTTAGCAAGGCTTTTGATACCATCTCCCACAAAATTCTTACAAGCAAATTAAGGAAGTATGGGTTGGATGAATGCACTGTAAGGTGGTTAGAAAGCTGGCTGGATTGTCGGGCTTAATAGGTAGTGATCAATGGCTTGAGGTCTAACTGGCTGTTGGTATCAAGTGGAGTGCTCCAGGGGTCAGTCCTGGGGTTGGTTTGTTCACTATCTTCATTAACGATTTGGAAGATGGGATGGAGTGCACTCTTAGCAAGTTTGTGGATGACACCAAACTGGGGGGGGGTAGTAGATATGCTGGAGGGTAGGGCTAGGGTTTAGTCTGACCTAGACAAATTGGACGATTGGACCAAAAGAAATCTCCTGAGTTTCAACAAGAACAAGTGCAAATTCCTGCATGTAGGATGGAACAATCCCATGCATCAGTACAGGCTTGGGACTGACTAGCTAAATAGCAGTTCTGCAGAAAAGCACCTGGGGCTTACAGTGGACAATAAAATGGATATGAGTCAACAGTGTGCCCTTGTTGCAAAGAAGGCTAACAGCTACTTTAATAGGGGCATTGCCAGGAGATTGCAGGACGTAATTATTCCCTTCCATTCTGCACTGGGGAGGACACATCTGGAGTATTGTGTCCAGTTTTGGGGCCCCCGCTACAGAAAGGAAGTTGGAAAATTGGAGAGAGTCCAGTTGAGGGCAACAAAAATGATGAGGGGACCAGGGCATGTGACTTCTGAGGAGAGGCTGAGGGAACTGGGTTTATTTAATTTGGAGAAGAGAAGTCTGAGCGGGGATTTGATAGCAGCCTTTAACTACCTAAAAGGGTGTTCCAAAGAGGATGGAGCTAGACTGGTCTCAGTGGCAGCAGATTGCAGAACAAGGAGCAATGGTCTGAAGATGCAGCAAGGGAAGTTTAGGTTGGATATGAGGAAAAACTTTCTTACTAGGAGGGTGAAGCACTGGAATGGGTTACCTAGAGGTGGTGGAATTTCCATCCTTGGAGGTTTTTAAGGCCTGCCTCAACAAAGCCCTGGCTAGAATGACCTAGTTGGGGACAGACCTGCTTTGAGCAGGGGGTTGGACTACACCTTCTGAGGTCTCATCCAATCCTAATTTTCTATGATTCTAGACTTGGAACAGGGTGAAAGTAGATGGACCTTTCAGTAACAGTAAGACATCACAGATAACAGTATCTGAATGTTCCATGTAGGAGCTTGGAAGGGTTTAAACTAAAAGAGGGCAAGAAGGAACAGAAAACAGGTTGCGGGGGGGGGGGAACGTGACAAGAAAAATGGAAATAAATGTAGAGACTGGATTTATCATCTCTAGCATATGCTACTATTGGGCTGGATTTTGCATTTGCCTATACCTGATCAAGGGGTAACGTGTAAGCTCTCCTGTCCCAGGAAAGACTGTAAGCCAGAGATCCACAAACAAATCACATGTTTCCTCCTTGCTCAGAGATGAATGGAGTAATTTTTTGTTGAACTAGGCCAACATAAATCACCATAAATTCCTGGACTAGCTCAACTATACTGGTGCAGTGAGGGTAGGAGTCAAGGCTGTGATCATTCACCACCTAGGAAAATTCACTCTTACCACAGTATGGTGATTCATCTTCAGGTGCCTGTGGCCTAGCTGGTTATCCTGTCCTTGAGTCCAGTTTCATAGATTTCATAGATGTTAGGGCTGGAAGGGACCCAAAGGGCAGGAAGTCAGCTGGGGTCATAGGATCCCAGCAAGATAAGCATCCAATTTGCTCTTGAAGGTGTTCAGAGTAGGTGCTTGAACCACCTCTGATGGCAGACTGTTCCAGACCTTGGGGGCTCGGACAGTAAAGAAATTCTTCCTTATGTCCAGCCTGAAACGGTCTTGCAGTAGTTTATGACCGTTCAACCTCGTCATCCCTTGGGGCGCTCTGGTGAACAAACGTTCCCCCAGATACTGGTGGTCACCCCTGATAAACTTATAGGTGGCCATCAGATCACCCCTGAGCCTGTGCTTTTCCAGGCTAAAGAGCCCCATGGCTCTCAGCCTGTCATCATAAGGTCTGTTTTCCTGACCTCTGATCATGCTGAAAAACCAAGCGTTAAGCGAAACTAAACGTTAAATGAAACCGAAAGTTTTTGACGACTCAAGATGGCAACCTCAAATATTTTTAATGACCGAAGATGGTGACCACAGGCATTATAACGAAACTCGCTGAGTTCTAAGTGGAATCAGGTATCAATTTAAATTGAGTATTATAGCAAAATAGCGCTAAACAAAGAAGCATTAAGTGGGGGTTGCCTATATACTGTTGAGGCCATTCTGGGGTGATCCTTTGGCACCACTCTCAAGCATACTACAGATCAAGGTCTCAAGAGTTGTCACAGAGAGATACCCCTGGGGTGACTTCACTGGTATATTTCCAGTTTTGGGGCATGTAAATAGGAGCAGGTGGGCAAGACAGGCTTGGGGGCATCCCAGCCATATCATACTGCCACTGCAGGGCAGACCTGCCTACAGTGCCTCTCTGCACCTCCCTCCCCTACCCAGAAACCCAAGGTCTGCTTACTTCACAGAGGATGCAAAGCAGATTCTCATACTCCTTTGTGGGGGGTGGGGAAGGGGGGCTGGTTCAAGTCACGATCTAACACCTCACACTAGCCAGATTTAAAATTATGCCTGGCAAGAGAAGACTTGTTGGAAAGAACACAGAGTACTAGGGAATTTCATAAGTATTTGGTGGTTGTGTCCTAAACTGGAAAGATTTTGCAGATAGCTATGAAAAGAAATTAAAGATGTTACGAATTGTATGTTACCAATGGACCCCTTGTTTCTATTGCTGGGATAGGCAATGAAAGATCCAAAACATCTGAGACATAGGTTTAACACCTCACTTAATAAAATGGCTTGAAGCCATGTTCAAAATCATCAGGAGAAAAATATACCCCAAAGGCAACATTACCTGGATCAAGAAAATCTGAAGAGTATCAATGATAAGAAAATTTGCTTCTCCCCAAAAAACACTCACAGTACCAAAAAAAGCCCCAAGTAGATCTCTGTCCTCCAAATTTCTACATGTAAGTTAATTTGTACATGGGTGTTAGGCTTTTGGATTTAAGTATTCATACATTGAGACATAAAGGCTAAGTACAGACAGTCAAAAAGCCGGAGGCTGAATTGATTTAGACTTTGCAGGTTAGTCTAAGTTGCAGAGATTAAACCAAGAAGCAGGTGAACAGACATTCACTTTTGATTAAGGAAATGAAGCCATATGCTCACAGTGGCTCAGGCCAGAAGCCAGGGGGCACTGGAGCGTGTCTCTCAGCCTGCCAGCCACTACCAAAGGGAAGGGACCAAAGCTCCAAGGCTTTTCCCACCCCTCCATGCTTGAGCAGAGGGGGTGTGGCCAGGCTTCAGCCTGGGGGTTAAGGGGAAGGGTGCTTTAAACCCACCATGGCCCACATGAGACCCCAGCCTGGGCCTGCCTGGACAGGGAGGAGGGCAGTGCCTACCAGACTTCTGCCCCCCACTCCTCACTCAAGGGGGAAACAGCTCCTGCCAGGATGAGGAGGGGGTGGGTGGGGAAAAAGGTAGTGGCACTGAATTCATAAAAGCTTGAACAAGAATAGTTCTTTCTCTGAAGTGAACGTGTATTGAACATGGCAATTTGCAACCTCAAGCACAAAACCTTAAGAACAACCAAAAATCTTCGCCTAAGCTAAGATACAGCCCAGTAAAACACAGTGAGAGCACACACAATTTAGTTTAACCTAAAATAGAATGTAATAAGCCAAAAAGACAAGAGAAAACCTTGTGTAAGTCTTACGTAACCCTGGGGGCAGGGTGTCTCCTTAGTGCCAAGTATTCAGAAAGTCTTCCTTGGGGAATCAACAGGTGATCTTAGGTGTTGGGGTAGATATCCCATATCTGGAACTCTGCCAGCCTGCAAGGGAAAAGCCATGGTTTCCCACATTTTTCTTCTTCAAAGGAGAATCCATTTTTAAAGTTTGTTCACAACCCTTTCATATATTTTTGCAACCCCCTTTTGGGTTGTGATCCATGGGTTGAAAAACTCTGACCTATAGCACCTTTGGCAGGACTCTCATACATTCATTGTCTTTTGTCTCTTCTTAGGTATTCCAGTCTCCCACCTTTTACAGGTTCTGCTTTATAATGTAAATGTAACTCTTTGCTTTCTTTGGTCACACTAGCCCAAGCAATCCCTCTCCTGTTCCTGGCCAGCACACTGAGCCAAGGAAGGGAGAATTAAAGCCCCTCCCACACCTCAGCTGAGGTTTGCCTGCGGGGTAGTCCCTCTCAGGCTGTTGCTCTCCCTCCCCCTGCACCCCACTCCACACCCCCAGCCCCTCCACACCATCAGGGAAAATCTGGCAGGGGCTGCCCCCACCAAGGCAGACCCAGCCAGTATTCCCAGCCCCACCCTCTTGTCAGCCAGCCCTCAGTGCTCTGGCTAGGGAGCAGAGGGGCAGGGCCAACCCTGTTCTCTGGAGCAGACAGCATAGGCCAGCTCAGGGATGCAAAGCATTAGGCCTGTGCAAAGCAGCTAGTATTTGCTTCAGATTCGGCCGATTAGTGATTTGATTCAGTGATTTGAATCACTGTCCTGAATCGATTCAGCAGAATCTGATTTGGAGATTTCGAATCAGCCAAATCTCTGAATCACATAGGCTGCATCCCTAACCCACTTGCCCAGCCCTGCTGGGCCCAGCTCTTCAGGGAAAAAAAAAGCCCTCACTCACCAGGTGCTGCCAGGTGGCTGGGGGTGGGGCGGGGGCATCCCTGCTGCTCCCCACTGCCCCATGCCACATGGGGGCTCTGTTATGAGCCCCCTGACCCCTGCCGGCTCCTCCAGCCCCCCCATAGCTGCCCCACCTGCCCCAACTCTTGGCTCTTTAAAAAAAATAAACAAGACCCAAAAAAGCCCTGACTCACTGGTTCCTGCCCCCGCTGTCCTGTGCTGCCTGGGGGTGGGGTGGTGGGGGGGGGGCAGCTGCACGAGCCTCCAGAAGCCCCAAGTCTGCTGCAGGAGCCAGTGAGTGCGGAGTTTTTCTTTTTCTTAAAGGGTTGGAGTTGGGGCATATGAGATGCATAGGGAAGCAGAAGGCACAGCTATAACACTGGCCAGTCCTGGCTTCCTTTTTGTTACCTTTTGATATATAGAAATCTGGATCATCTAAGATATCAGAATGCATATGCTAAGATCAGCTCTCTAGGGTAACTATATGCCTTTGAGCACCAAGTATCAATCTAACCATCTCACAGTTGTGAAGAAGTTCAGTTCTCTTTGAGTCCCTTTGTATAGATAGAAAATGAGAGGCAGAGTAGATTACGGCATGCTTCCGCTATCTGTAATTTGACCAGGACTAGGAACATGGTTACCCTGCCTGCTTGCTTATGATCACAGAGAGAGAAATTGCTGGGTGTTGAGGTCTTTGGTCCCAGGCATGAGTGTTAAGTAGATGTCCTTTTCTACGAAAGCAACATTTTTTTTTTGAAATATTTCAATTTTGGGGGAAGAAAAGGAAGCAAAGAAGAAAGAAAGAAAGAAAAAGAAAGAAAATAGACTAATTTTCTAGGAGGTGTATTGAAATGCTGTTTCCCTAGTTGTTTGCTATGAGGACTTTTATCATTTTTATTTTCACTTTTTGACTGCAGAGAGAAAGCAACCCTTCTTCAGTCATCCAGGGCAGGCATCAGGACATGAGGAAGAAGAAAGCTCATTACCCTGACTTTCTGTTCATCTAGAAGACACCTTTGAAAGTTTTTCATCCTTTATCCAGGATGACACTTTTTTTATAACCCCAAATTCTTCATGGGAATAATTTTTCATTTTTGGCCAACTGTAGAGCAAAACACTTACAAATATGGCTCCAGTGATATAAGGACTTAAAGTTCATATCTGCTTCAAAATACGTTACACAAAACCCAAAACTGAACTGAAACTCTTTATTGAAATGAAAATTAATCTTCAGTCTTACTCTTACTGCATTATTTTCCATCAGGCTTTACTTTAAAATGAACCTCTTGAAAATAGCAACTTGTTGGGAAATATTTAAAGTGACATAAGAATCCAGGAACACGATTTAGGAGGCAGCTCAAGTCTCTCAGTGCATGACTCTGAAAAGCTATAGGAAATCGTAAAAGGGCTTAGTGCACTCTACAATATTCAAAACAAATCCTGAGCATACAAAGGCAACTGAAAGGGCATTGAAACCACAAATAGCCTAAAGACATAGTTGGAAAGCATAGGATTGAATAACTGCATTAAAACGGGGGGGGAAAAGTTTGTGAAATATGCAACTTTTCTAACTCGGTTAAAGCTTGCCATTTGTCCTGTCGGGTTCCAAGTAGGCCTGTGCAAGTCGGCAGTGATCCGATCTGGCTTCAGATCCAGCCACTTTGGATGGCTGCGATCTGATCCGGAGCTCCAGATCAGTTTGCCGCTTCAATCCGCCCGAAGTGGCTCTGAAGCCTGCCAGCTGTGTGCGTCTCACTGGGGGAGTCTATCGTCTGGGGCCCTGCACCCCAAGGTGCTGACAGGCAAAACTTGTGATGTGGGTGGGTGACATTGTGTATGTGTTAAGGTGCACCCTTCCTGGAGCTGGGGCTCTGCACAACATGGCAGTGTGCCCCAGTGAGGTTTCCTCCTCCCCTACAGCCTCATGCCCGGTCCTCCGCTTTACATGACAACAGGTAAAATAACTTAGCTGTCTCAACACCAGTAGTATCAGCAGCAGCATCAGAGGTACCCAAACAGAACTGTCACAGAGCCTTTCTTTTTAAAAAGGAATTGACAGCAAGAAGTAAAGATGTTGTGTT